GGGGGGGGGGGGAGAAGAAACAATTCCTGCCTATTTGGCCGGAATATGAAAAATTCACGGAACATGGCCAATCTGGAGAGAATTTAAATAATGCATAAGGGAACCCTTGGTATTTGTAGGCAAAATGAAGGAATCAGAATGGCAAACTGAGGCAAAGAGCAGTTTCATTGCAGACTCCTACTAAAGCAGCCAGTGAGTTGTGATTGCAGTGTGATACCTGCATGTTAGGAACAGAGGGTTCAAACAGAAAGCACAGCTCCCACTGTTGGGAGCTGTTTTTAGTGTGGGAAACAGCCTCAAACTGCCCCTAAGTTATTAGCCCTATGGCAAAGCCTGCAGAAACAGCAGGAGACTGAAGTTACAGCAACCTGCAGGCAACAGCAGAAAGTTCAACACCACTTTATGATGGCAACAAAAGGGATTTTCTGACTCTCCAGGTGAGTATTCACAGGTTAATAGTATAGAATCTCTAAACTGTTTAATTTGGAGGAAATAAGTGAAGTATTATTTTACTCCCTTTCTTTATAGGTGGAAGGAATAAGACTGAAAAGGAGTTACAGAGTCATTTTGCAACAGGATTATCACGGACTACTTAAAAAGGTGAATTTGAGGAAAACCTCAGGACTTTTAAAGACCCTTACTGTAGAACTGCTGATTTCCCTGGGCGGTAGTAGTAAGAAAATAACTTAAAACGACAAGTAATACATGCTACTTCTCTCAGCCATGTGGTGATAGGGTCACGCTGCACTCAGTGGAAAACGGCTGGGAGACATTTGGCAGCACTGACAAAGCTTGAAGTGTCTGCAGGCTACACAATATTATAACTCCAACCCAAAGCAGAAATAAACTAACCTCCTGTATGAGGCAGTGGAGGTATTTCAGGATGGCAGTAAAAGGGAGGAAAGCAGAAATTTTGCTTCAGAGGAGAACGATCTCTGTATTTTGCAGAGCACAAAAAGTCCCTGTGGAGCCTATGATCTGGAAACTGTTCCAACTGCTGCTGAAGCCAGAAGAGAGATTACACACCCAGCTGCTCATCACCCCACCTTTTCCTCTCTCCCATTCCTCCCTTCTGTCCCCGTTATTCTGTCTTTTCCACTGCTCTCTACTTAATCCATTTCTGTAAAGTGAGCTAGTTAGGAAAAATTAAAAACCAGTCCTCCAATTAATAAAGGAAAGAGCAGCACCTCTCTAAAGAGGGACAAGAGGAAATGGCCTCAAGTTGCACCAGGGAGCTGTAGATTAGATATTAGGAAAAATTTTTACACTGAAAGGTTTATCAAGCATTGGAACAGGCTGCCCAGGGAAGTGGTGGAATCATCATCCTTAGAGGGATTTAAAAGACAGGTAAACGTAGTGCTTAGCAATATAGTTTAGTGATGTCTTTAGTCAGTGTTAGGTTGACAGTTGGACTTGATGATCTGAAAGGTCCCTTCCAACCTAGACAATTCTATGATTCTATGAGGGAAGGATGGGAAAGCAGGTCATTAAGCAATATGTAAAGACAATCCACTGCCTTATCCAGATATATCCATGGCCACCTACTGCACCACATACTAGTAAATAAGAAAGATCAGATTATTTTGCAGAATCAGGCTGGGGACAGCAAAGTATTTGTCAGACTGCTCAGCCAATTGGAACTATGAGGTGGCATTTGCTCATAGCTAGGGCAGGGTGGATGACAACTAGCCACATCATCCAAAATACCTGACCATCTCCAGCAGGGCACAAAATTTGGTACTTTCTAAATTAGCTGTAGTGAATGGATCACATTGCTCACAGAAGTAAGGAAACAGAATAAAACTGTGTACATCTAAAGTGATTGCAGGGTTGTTCTGTATTGCCATATGAAGTTCACCTAGCATAAAACAGATGTTAGTCTTACTGCCTGGCAGCCAGAACTTCTGCAACATCAGCATTGTTCAAAATTGTCATCAGGTAGGGACCTAGAGTCAGTAATAAGGATTGTGTTTAAAGATGCAAGGATTGATTTCTGCATAATCAGATAGATTTGTTCATTGCTATACCACCAGCTATCAGTGGTACATTTCAGGTATAAAACTCTGCAGGGGGTGAGATCCCCTATTGCTCTATTCCTCTGCTTTTCTTTTTGCTTTTGTCACAACAATTTAAAACCTCACTTGTAAACCTAGTTGGAATACGTAGCAGGCAGAGGCACATGCAACCAACTTCACAGTATCTCATGGACAAGTCTTTTCACTAACTTGCTCAGAGATGCTGTTCCTACTCCCTCAGGCAGAGGAGAGTCTGCCCTGAACAGTGGTAAATACTGGCTCCTACTAAACTGACAGCCAAGCTCAGCAGTCTCTGCTGAAGGGTATCATACCATATTCTATTATTCTTAACGTAGGGCTGAATTCAAGTCTGGTTTTACTTAAACCCAAGATGACTAAGTGTTTACTAAAGCCAGCTGTTGTTCACAAGATAGCTTGATAATTTTACAATGGTGCTTTACTAATAAATCAGAAGCACAGAGAGGAAGGTAATGACAAGCTAACATATGTATGCTATCTCATAAAACAAACAAAATATTAACAACGTAATAATATCACCAGCGTGACTCCAGACACACTTGTGCCGCCTTGCCTAAGCCCTCCTGCTACACAAGCTCCTACTAAGTCCACTCCACAATACCAAGAGTCTGCCTAAATAAAAATGAATCAGTGAGAAGACTACAAAAGGAGCTGCTGTTGGAAAAAGAGACTCCGCTCAGCTCTCTCCTCTTTGGGTCTTTGTCAGCAGGCTGCCTCTGTTTCCCATCATGTTCAAGCCCCCTACACTCCCCTTTCAGGGCCTTCATATCTCTGAACTCCCCACTGGGTACCTCTGCTGTCCTGGCTCCCCTCTTGCCTGCCAGGAGCACGACCTCCTCCTCTGACCTGCACCCTCTACTGCACCCACCAGCTCCCATAAACTCACCAGCAAAGCCCACACAAGGAGGGAGAGAGTCTCACACCTACTCAGGCCTCCAGGACCTGGCAGTTCCTTAACATCCCAGGCCTGATTCAGTTTATATATAGTTTAGATGAATACACAATTCCACCGATAAAAGTAGAGCTCTGCCAAAAACTGCAGTGATCACAGCATGGCAGAGATGACCTGAGGGTCTCACTACCATGGGGCTTTTACAACAGACATTTTCATTGATGATTTGAAAAGTAAAAGAAGCCCTAAACTCAAATGCTCAAAATAAGTAATCTTTTCTCATCAAAGTAATGGTGTAAAAGAAGAAAATGTCTCTTTTGTTGAAACTCCTTTATTGAAACCAGTCCAACCTGGTGTTCAGGAAGGGCCTGTAAAAAACACTTTTGTTGTTGGTCTCCTTTGGCAGGGCAGCAACTTTTCCCTTCAGTTAATGATGCTCTGGCAACAAGGCTGCACATTTTATATCCTTACATAGAGTCAGATCAGCCAGTTCAGCTGACAGAGCTTTACAAGATGCTCCTCTGCTGCTACTCAGCACTGATAGCTACTTTTATAGTTTCCTACTAGGACTTGTCTACCTGAGAAGTGGGGCTGCCTAGGAGTAACCCAGCTGAAAAGTACCTGATTTGCTGAACAGACCAGTCTGAGTAATACTGGTCTGGGTGCTTCTTTTTTCAAGGAATGCCATTTCCAATAATAACTTTATGTGATGTTTTTCTTGCTCAAAAACTTTAGAAAAAAACCTCAAGAATTACTCTTAAAATGTATAAAAAAGTAAAGCCTGTATGTGACTTTTTTGGAGGGGAAAAAAAAAAAAGGCAGAAAAGAACGTGAAAGGCAACCTTTTTGGTTCACTGTAGGCTAATTAAATATCAACACAATGTCAGAAGAAATTCCTTAATTTTCTAATGCCACTGGCTTCTTTACTAGATAAAGAATAGTTAAACTGCGTTTCAAGAGCCTATAATAATCAATGGAGCCTTTCAAGAGATTTTTGTGGTCTTTTAATCTGACCTGTAAAGAACACGATGAAACTCCCGTTATGGTGACACAGGCATTTTTTCTCCCGAGGAAGTTTACAAAAGCCACAGCTCCAGTTACAGTAACCCTACCTCAGATCCCAGTTTAGAAGTCCTCCCTCCCCACCGATGTCAGCAGAAATACCAGATTGGAACAGCACACTTAAGTTGTTTTTTGAAATAAAGGGCGTACGTATGGACATGATCTAACCCAGGAAGGATTTTTACCAGTTTCACTAAGCTCTAAATCCCACTCCCTGTAACACGACTGCTGCAACTTGATTCCCACAGATAATTATAAATCCAGGGAAGATGATAGTAAAATGTATGGCCAAGACCCAAGCCTACTGAAATCTGGGTCAATTTTTGTCACCCATGCCAGTGACCCCTAGTTATGTTTTACAACTGTAAAGAAATAATTTGAAAAAAATGAAGGTATTTATCGCTCAGTAGATTTTCTATATCTTTTCTATTGAAACTTGCTCAGTTTGTTCTAATCCTTTTCATTTTTAGAGCATATTGGTTGTTGTCTCTTAAAAGTTAATAAAATGAAAAAACTAAGCATATAGCAGAACATATCGTAGCTGGCAAGGATTCCTGACAAGAGGAAACACAAACCTGGGCTCACCTTTTCATTTTTCATCTTCAGCAGGTCGGCAGCTGTTGTCTCCGAGAAAATGTGCATCCTAAAAAGATGTCCATCTTCTTTTCTATAATCACCTGCCTTGCAAAGTTTACGTTTTTGAACATGGTGTTTTACACTTGAGTTATGAATTACTAATGTTTTAACCTTCTCAACCAGAGGCCCTACAAGCTTCTGTAGTCCAGAAACATTTTGTTCCAGTCCATCTAGCCTTTTAACCTGCCGCTCCGCATTCCTGTTTATATCAGAAAGAGATTTTTGCATTTTAAGGCAAAGCCTCTTCATTTCATTACTTCTCAGATTTTTATTTCTTTCCGTCCTTGGTCCAGGTTCAGATCTTTCCGCTTTTACAATTTTAATGTCTTTTTCAATGCAGCCGATTTCTTGAGAAACGCTGTTGAGCTTCTTCAGGACATTGTCTTGCAGAGTCAACAGCTTATCTATTTTCTGCTCAAGGGAGGCAAACTTCATATCCATGATGTTAAAACTTTCAGGTGTGCTGACATCACGGCTTGCAACATGAAGAATTTGGGGGGGGTCCATTCCATTATCAGGCCCTTGGTTCTGCAAAGCGTTTGGATCGAATATTTTGGCCAAGTTGTTGACCACAGATGTAGAAGAGCTCTGCCTGCTGGATGTGGTCATTTTGCTGGTATGAGTAGGGGAAGGAAACGCTCTGGTAATCAGCTGCTTGAGGACAATATCAGTTGCAAAGGCTTCCCATCCAGACTGCTCAGATATACAGCCAAGTTTGGCAACTCCAGCTCAACTAATCTATAAACTACTCTCATATATTTGACTAAAACAGAGGAAAGAGACACCCAAATTATTTAGGAAGAAAAATGCCTTTGATCGATTCTTTATATATATAAATATATATTAATATGTATCTGTTTCCAAATGAAGTGAATATTGAGATGCGCATCCTAAATGCACTCGGTTCAGTGACATCAGCCCTAGCAGGGACTAGAACTATTTGCACTCCAGTGGAATTTGACAGCAAAAAGGCTACGTGATACGTGAGAAGCCTCTAAGGGTAGAGACACTTTGGCAGTAGTGTTGTTGCTTTTCAAAAGCCTAGTATGTAATGTGATCCCTGATCCGAAGAGAATAAGGGTCCTTACCGGGACCTTAAATGTGGCTGCTTGAAATTACTGTGTCTTAAGGTGAGCGTTTCAGATGAAAACCTCTATTGCTTGGAAACCCTGTTACATCAGGCAGGAAGTCAACAGAGTTCTTAATAAACCAAATACATTAAAGAAAGTAAAAGAAGGAGGAGATGCAGATATCTGAAAAAATCAGAACCCCTTTCTCTACCCTATATTTTAGCTACCACACAGCTAGATCTTTAATACACAAGCAATTTTCTCCATAGCCAAAATCTTAATTTACTTCTGTATGTATTGAGACTGCACTAATTTACCACAAATGATGAGGCTTTTATATTTTACTATGATCTGGTCATACAAATTCCAAAAGACAAAGTTTAATAGAGAGACTCAGTTCTTTGCTTTGTTTGCCTGCCAATAAAGATCTCAAACTCAGTAATGAGTTTTCATAACTCAAACACTTTGTTTATATTTTGCTTTTGCAAAAGACCTGAATTTCTTTCAGAAAGACAACATCGGGCAAAGAAGAAATGCCATGACTGGGAACAGGATTCCCTAGATGTAGGTTTGAATTGTTGAATATTTTTCATGTTGGTTAGAAAACTATAAACAGAATTAAAAGGAAATAACAAAACCAGAACTTCTCATCTCAAGTCAACTATATTCCACATGAACAAGAAGCAAATCAGTATGGATCACCTTGATGGAGAAAGGCTGCCTCTAAAATACAAAGAAAAGGCTACTTTGGACAAATGACTGTTATAGATTGATCACACATGGCTCAGTCTGCACTTGTGCTGTACCTCTTATCGAAATCAACAAGCTGGTTGGAAAGCAGCCAGACTACTGCCCTACTCAAAGGATCAAGAGCTTCTTTTGTGTTCCCAGGGAATTATTTCTTTTGCCAACCTCAGTTTCCCCATCCTTTACATGGAGAGAGTGAGGGATAATTAGGCAAAGCACAGAGCAAGTTCTGGATATCTAACACATTAAATAGCCCTTCAAAATTGCATCTGTTCACTAAATGAAGAGTATGAAATGATTTTCTTTGTGTTTAGGTACCAAAGATGTCTTTTAGAGTCAATCACAGTTGAAGTTTTCAAAAGTTTCCAAAGGCATTTGCCCTCAGTCATTTATAAATCACCATGTAGTCAGTGTTGATAAGCTAATTTGGGAGCTTGTTCTCAGGTTACCACAGGTTAATAAAGGAAAAAAGTTCCTAGGTACTTTTGTCACCTTTTGAGAGCAGCATGTTACTGTGAGTGAAAGGTGAACTGTGTCCATGCATGACACAAACATGCATTGAAATCTCCTCTATGTCTTCCTTACATAACAGATGTTACCAAGAGGTGACCACCATCTGTTATTGTGCATAGGATATTCCCTGAGTCGATTGAGAAGGTTAAATGATTTTAAAATAGGAAACAGGACAGGGAAAAAAAGACGGCGAGTTTAGGGATCCCTATTTCATGGAAAGAATAATATACAGGACAGCAGTTAAAAAAGAAAAGAATACCAAAGCAAAGAACATCACGTTAGTTCCAGCAGAGAGCAGTTGTGTTTGAATCCCTTTGCCTTCTTCCACTCATCTCTGTTAGAAACATAAACTAAACCAAACCCTCCTGACAGTTTCCCATCTGCAGAAGCTCCTGTTAGACACAAACTTCCAGGAGAGGTGTTTGCACATCTGTAAAAAGGCCAGGTTTGGAGAGCCATTCATCTTGGATGAAACATCCCTGCAGGAGTTCAGAGTGAGCTTCCCTTCTGTCCCCTACACCCTCTGCACAACAAAAAAAAAAAAGGTTAAAGGTTTATTAGACCCTGCCACCCATCCAGCTAGGGCTCCCACACTCTGGGGGATTTCACAGGCAAAGCATGACAGCTACAAGGATCCTCTCCAAAAGGAACATTATTTTTATAAGCAAGGAAATCATTAAAAAAAAAAAAAAGAAAAAGGACATACAGATAGTAATGGTAAAATCATGTGTTATATTAGTGTGCACAGCCACATGTGTTAAACATTTAAATATCTCCTAACAGTTGCCTAGGGAAACGTTATGTGAACTACCTCAAACCAATACTATAAACACTAATAAAAATGTTAAGCTCCTTGAGGTAAGATCCTATTATCAAGTATCATCTGTAAAGTCTTGTTTGATTTAATATTATGCCATGACATACAAAAGTGCCAGACACACTTAAAATGTAGAAAGAAAACTATAAAAATGCTTCATTAAAAACTCATCAGTGTTAGCAGTTCTGTCTGAAGCTGAAGTGAAGAGAGAAGAGAGAACTGCTGTGTAGTAGCTAGAAAAGAGGAATAAACGAAAGAAGGCTAACATTAGCTTGCTTTCTGGGCTCAGAAGGCTCTTGCCAGTAACTTCTTCACACCCGGGAATCCGTGATCCCTGCCTCTTGCTCTGTAAACTGGAAATAATCTTAGATATTCAGATACCTTTCAAGGGTTCACTGAGAATTAATTACTTAAGGGGAAGCGTTATGTAAAGTATTTGAACATGTCTTTCTCTGTGTGATTGATTATTACCACAGCTATTTTATGGAATTCAATAATATTATATCTAAATCATTTGAGACATTTTTAATAACCAAATACCTGAATGTACTTTTCCTAGTCACTGAAAGAATCTCCTAGCAATCATACCTACCATTAATGCACAAAATAAGTCTATATAATAGCTTTCTAGCTTTCATCTCACAAATTTTACTGATGACTGGTCATTGGATTTGCCCAGCACCAAAACTGCTAAAAACCTCTTTGTTAAAGATTAAAGGTATGAGCTGCAGCAATGCTTACCCTTCACAAACGGAAAACATAGAAAAAAACCTGACCAAAATACTGTAGAAAGAAAGCAATTCCACTAGTTTTGAAGATGACACAACTCTCTACGTGCCTAACATTGCCTAATATTGTGTTTCAGAATATTAACACTAGGCCACTGCACCATGGCAGTGATAATATCATATATTGACAATATTACAAAGAACACAAGTGGAAATGTTTGAATTTGTAGAGTCTTATTGCAACTTTCTTGGACGCTAAGCCATGTACTGGGATATGCCACATTTCTTGGAAGGCTGCTAGCACTGAACCTTATCTGGAGATCACAGTACCACGTTTATCAATCTTGAGCCGTTTTAGACAAGGTATCTCCAAATTCCCAAGTCCAGTTTGAGATTTTACTGCTATGGTGGCTTGGGGTGTTTTTTTCCCCAGAAATAACATGGGGATGCAGTGCATGAGTTTGCAGCACGTGTATGACGCACGCTGCACATTCCAGCCATTGCTCACTCACATGTGTAAGCAGCATACGCTCTCCTGACATTTCTGTACCTACGTCCTGGCAAGGATCAGGTTTGCATAAAGTATGTGTTAAGGGCAGGGAGTGTGAACAATTAGCTCTGACTTACAAATAGCAATTTAGACTGGGCCACTGTGACCTCCGTCTTTGGGAAAAAAAAGACGTTATAAAACAACCTCCCTCAATCACTCAGAGGTGCATTAAATGAAATTTTATGTAATCTAGGTAAGAGTGGACAGGGCATGATGCATTTCGAGTTATATCCATGCTGAATCTCCCTGCACATTTATTACTAAAATAGTGGGAAGATCTGGAGAGAAGTCAGCTGTCTTTATGCAGCCAAAAGACAATGAGGAGCAAATACAGTTCTTGAACTTGTATGAAAGTTCGTCTCAAACCTTTAGTTTATTCCTAAAAACTCCCAGTGATGGAGCTTCCATAATTTCTCTAACCTGGCACAGTGCTGACAATTTTTCTCTGTTAGAAGGTTTTCCTAAAGCATAATCTAAATTTCCATCTGTGCAACTGAAGTTGACTTCTTCTTGTCCTATCCATGGATGACAAGAACAGTTTATTCTCTTCTCCTTTGCAGATATCTTTTATGTATTTGAAGCTTATTGTTGCATCTCCCCCTCAGTACTCTCTCAAGTATATTTTTGGGTGCAATATAGCTATATATTACAATTTTCTAGAAGTTATCAGTATAGAGAAAAAAATATGTTTCTTTAATATTTTTCTGAAGAAGTTGCCTTCCTATATGAAAAGAAATTGAAGATACTCTGTGCGTGTCTGTGGACATATAATGAATTCCTTTGTTAAAATGGTACAAGTCAACATGTTATGTTCTATCTCCCAGAAAACAATGTAAGATTTTGCTTTCGTTTGAACACATTGATTTCCTCTTCTATTAAAAAAAAAATCTCAAATCCCTAAAATAAAATCTTAGGACAGATAAAAGAAAAATATCAATTAATAAACATACATCAGAAGTCAACTTTTCAGAAATTTGGATAATAAAATTCTTATCTACTGGTTTATATTTTAATTCATAGAATCATAGAATGGTTAGAGCTGGAAGGGATCTTAAAGATTACCTTAAAGATCCCCTGGGCAGGGACAATTTAATTACTTAAATTAAGACCTTTGTAAGGTTATCCTTATCTACTACTTTTACTTTTCTGTTGCCTTTTTATTTCCATTCCTTTTAGTGTCTACT